TGGGCGTGTAGAGGGTAGAACCTGAGGCGGGACCTCGTGCGCAAACTCTGACGAGCGGCTGTGATTTATAAAAGAAAGATGCGCAGAAACGTGCGTACGCATGRTTTTATAAATCTGAATTTTTTTTGGCGTACGCCATTTCCGCCTTTTGGCCGTACGTTCACTTTTAGTATGGTTTCCACGCCATCCTTTATAAATGAGACCCCTGAGCCTCTTCTAAATCACGGAGTTGACCCAGGTTTCTGTGCTTCTGTTTGTTTCAGGAGGTTATAATGAGGGGGGACTCCTCCGGCTGGGATCTGGGTCCTGACCTCGACCACTTCAGCAGCAGAACCCGGCAGGTGCTGCAGTACATGAACCCCAACAAGATCAACATGGACCTGCTCGTAGACCTCCTTGACTACCTGGGTACAGCTACTGGATGGTGCCGATCAAAGAACACAGCCGTTTCTAATCACGCAATGTGAAATAAACTTGTTTTTGTTTGGGGTTTTCCGTGCCTCTGCCAGATAAATCCCCGCAGTTTGCAGACATGGATGGAGCCGTGCTCGTCTTCCTCCCAGGTCTGGCTCACATCCAGCAGCTGTACGACCTGCTCTCTTCAGACAAGAGGTTTCGGGACAAAAATAGGTAGTTTGTGACCAGATGCTGCATTCTAATAAACCGTATCAAACTCTGAAAACAGAATAAGTGATGTCACACACTGTGCAGGTACAGGATCGTCGCTCTGCACTCAACTCTTTCATCTAAAGACCAAGCAGCTGCCTTCACAGTGCCCCCTGCTGGAGTCAGAAAGGTACTTTTTAATTAGACCTCAGATTTATTTGTATGAAATAATATTTCAAACTTTACATGTTTGATCTCTTTTCTTTTTAGGTTGTGTTGTCGACCAACATCGCAGAGACAGGTGTGACTATTCCTGATGTGGTGTTTGTTATTGACAGTGGGAAGACTAAAGAAAACAAGTAAGAGCCTATAAAACATTGTTTTAACTTTTTTTTTATTTCTGCTTATGTTGAACAGATTGCACTTACTGAAACTTTATTATCAGATCTGATTAGTCACAATAAATTTTACTCTTTCTGGGTGTTTTTGGTGCAAATAAACAAACTAAATATTAACGCCAGCAGTTTTACTGTTAAGAGTCTATTAGTGGCTTGATGCTGATATGCTAAAGTCCAAATCCAGCTGAAGTTACAGGTTCTTTGAATATTTTGAGCCAGTTAGAAGGTAAAAGTTTTATATGTATTGCAGCTGGTCATAATATTTGGCCCAGAAATATCCATGCCACAGTTGCTGTGGTTTTAAATGTGACTCTTAACTTTCATGAACATTTAGACCTTCAGCAAACACTTTGATTCAAAGCAGCCTAAAAGCAGGACAGTTTTCAAGCCCAGTCTTGCTCAGATATTTAGTGGTAAACTGGCTTAAAGGGCAGATTACAAGCAGAATGGGTAAAGAATTGCACAATAAATATAATTTAGCATTCAGATCCTGACTGTGTGTTTCTGTCTTACTGCAGTAAGTCCGTTAGACTGAGATCAGGTTTAATAAAACTTTGTAAAATGTTTCACCTGTTTATTGTTGAAATCTTTAGGGTTTTCTTTGCCGTATGTTTTGTGTGATTTTAATCTGTTGTGTAAAGCACCGTCCAGTTGATTTTGCTGCATGTAGTTAAATCAGAGCAGATGGTATATCTGTACGCTACATATATTTTCTGACTGTCAAATCCTCCAACATAACATCATTTTTCAATTACATTCAAGTCCTGAAAAAGTGGTTCTGCTAATTAAAGAAATTTAAATACCAAAAGCTATGTTCAAATATTTAGTACTTATTTAATACTTCGTTCAAATAATTTGTTACTGCATGTGTTAACTCATGAACAACAAATATAACAATAACTTGTGATCCTGTCTAATTAAAAAACAATGATGAACTGGTTTTAAAGAAACGTAACGAATTTCTGCTGTGTTGCTCAGGTACCACGAGAGCAGCCAGATGAGTTCTCTGGTCGAGACATTTGTCTCCAAAGCCAGCGCCCTCCAGAGGCAGGGGAGAGCAGGACGGGTCCGAAGTGGCTTCTGCTTCAGACTCTACCCCAAATACAGGTTTGGAGCTCGTCAGTCCATGGCAAAAAAACCAACTAGAGAAGCAATGCAGTGGGAGCTAAGAGCTGAATGACAGCTGAAATGTGCTGAAGAAGCTCAAACTGAGTTGGTGAAACAAGCAGAACACAAGCTAAAAGGATCGAGCTAAAAAATATTTATAAATGAAAACAGTCAAAATATGAGCTAAAAGGTAGTGGCAAATGGGTAACTAAAATTAGCAAAAAAGTAGAAAAAAGGTATCTAAAACTAGCAAAATGTTAGCTAAAAGATATAGTAGTAAAGATTAGCTAAAACATATAGCAAAAGGATAGCCAAAAGAAACAAAAGGGTTGCTAAAATTAACAAAAGGTTAGCTAAAAGGTATAGTATTTAGAGTAGCTGAGATAGCAAAAAGGTAGCTAAATGTTAACGTAGCAAAATGGAAGGTAAAACTAGCAAAATGTTAGCTAAAAGGTATAGTAGCAAAAGATTTACTAAAAGGTATTGTAGCAAGAGTGTAGCTATAATTAGCAAAGGGCATAGTAGCAAAAGATCAGCTAAAATTGTGTAAATGTCAGTTAAAATGTCTAGTAGGAAAAGATTAGCTAAAAGAAGCAGAACATCAGATGAAAGTAGAAGAACAGCAGTTAAAAGCTAAATGTAGCAAAAGGTACATTTCAGTAGCTGAAAATGTTGTCTTAAAGCTCAGAGCAGCAGAACAGTAGCTACATGAAATGTTTTTGAAGGATTTGTGAATTTTAGCATCGTTTTAAGGTCAAGTTAAATATTTAAAAACTATAAAATTACTAAATCTTGAATGAGCCGAACATTTTGATGTATGAATGGCGAAAGTATCGCACTGTATCTAGAAGTAATTCGACTGGAAAAAAACAAACAAACTCATTGTTGTTATTTATTCATAAAACAGATTGCAGTTTAAAGTCATACTGGTTCTGACTGGTTCTGCTCTTATTTAAACTTCACTTCAGGTTTGATTCCTTCATGGATTATTCTGTTCCAGAGATTCTGCGGGTCCCACTGGAGGAGCTCTGTCTTCACATCATGGTTAGTGAGACAGTTTATTTCAGTTAGACGTCACGCAGAGATAAACACATTTTACTCTCCTCCTCTCTGGTAGAAATGTCAGTACGGCTCCCCGGAGGACTTTCTGAGCCGAGCCTTGGATGCTCCTCAGCCCCAGTCAGTCAGCAACGCTGTCAACCTGCTGAGGAAGATCGGTGCGTGTCAGCCCAGCTGTCACGTCCTCACCCCTCTGGGACATCACTTAGCAAGTCTGCCAGTCAACGTGAAGATCGGCAAGATGCTCATCTATGGAGCCATCCTCGGCTGCCTGGAGCCCATAGTACGTCCTGCCGCCACAGCACTCCAGGAGTTAAACCTCTGGTCCTTTTGGACCTTGTGCTGGGGACTGACACTACTTTTATTTTTGTTTGAGGTGACATGATTTAATAAATACTAACAGAAAGTTTGTTTCAGGCAACTATCGCAGCAGCCATCACAGAGAAGTCTCCTTTTTCCACACCGATGAATCGAAAAGAGGAAGCTAACTTGGCTAAGTCTGCTCTGGCGTTGGCAAACTCGGATCACCTGACCATATACAACGCATATCTGGGGTATGGACTGGTCCAAAAGACTGAATTTAAATTTTTCTTAAAAAAGTGTTTTTTATGGTAAAATAAGCTGGAAATATTTTTGAAATATGTTAGCAGCATCCTCTGTACGTGTTGTGAAACATAATCAGGTGCTTCACTTTGCAATGTGGCCATCATTGTGTCTTTTAATGTGTTTTCATCTTTTCTTAAAGGGGCAATATCATGTAAAATCAACTTTTTTGAGTTTTATATCATGTTATAATGTTAAACTGTCTTAAAAAAACATGCCCAAAGCCTTGCTTTGACTCATTCATGCATGTTTGAGAAATCCTGCAGCGTTTTTAGGAAGCCATGCTGAGGAGCAAAACGACAGGTGGGGACCAGAAACGCCTTTTGGGAGCAGAAATGCCCCTGGGACGTGTCTTTAAGCCGAACTTCCTCATGGCAGAGCGCATCCCCCTCCCCACACCCCGCCCATGACTCCTGCAGGCTCTCGGGTGAAACTGAAAGTGAAACTTAAACTGTCTC